AAATAATATTTTTTTGATATTTGGACTGATTTAAATAGGCCTAATATGGTTGAATTCGAGCTTGGTCTAAATATTTAAATAAAAAAATAACATTTTAAAAAATATATCAAATATTAATTATTTCTTTAAATTTGAGTTATTTTATACTAAGATATTATATATTTGAATATATTATTGTAGATTTTTTTAAAAAAATTAAAATATTCATATTGTCATATTTTTATTATTTTAATACATAAAATATCTCAAAATAATTTTTAAAATGTTTTTCAATTTTAATTTTTAAATTTTAAAACCCACATTTAAAAAGGGTCTGACTATTCTATATTATTTTAATATTTAAAAAATATATTTTATATTTTTTTAAATTAAAAATAATTAATTTTAAAGTAAAAATTAAATTAAAAATAAAAAAAATTGATAATTCAAATATTCGAGCTTACTTCAAATAAGCTTGAAGTTGATAGTGGTTTAATCTTAATTTGGCTATTTGGACATTTTCATAGCCCAAATAAGCCTAATTCAAAGATATCCAACTTATTTGAATCACTGACTATATTCTTATTTACTTAAAAAGCTTAGATTATTATCATTTATATCACACTTATTTGGTATGAAAAGTATCTCTTAAGAGAAGATAATCCTTTAAATAGAGTTCATATTTCTTAAAGGATTAGACTGACGATTGCTGACCGTGAAAGTACATTGAAGAAAAAAATGTAAAAGCATTGCAAGCAAGAAGGAGGAATCACGTGTTTTTAAAATTAATTTTTTTCAAATACAAGATCACCAAAAAAGCCATACATAAAAACAACAAATCAAGTCATGTTATGGTGCATAAAGGTTTTGTACTCTAGAAGTGGAGCATAAAAAATTCTTATTATAAATTATCATTTGAAGTTTGGTAAGAATCACCATTAAATCTACATAAACACAAAAGGAAAAAAAAAATGGATATAAGAACCAAAACCCTTAAATACTAAAAACATTCAACCCTCGAATACCGTATTTTCTCTCACATAAAAGTTGGTTCAATAAAATATGGATATCTATTTTAAAATGTATTGGAAATTGAAATGATCAATGTATTGATTCAAAAATTAATAATAAAAAAATATAGTCAGACCATGATTAAATTAATTACAAATAAAATATTTTATTAAATAAATTAAGATATTGATTTAATAGTTTACTAATTTAATTGAATAAGTTAACCCTAATTTTCATATTATGTTATTTTACTCCTTTGGTGCCTATTTGTGAACTCAAGATCAACAGGAATTGTTTTAGATCTATCTCACTTTGGGAGAATTATAATCAGATTTTAAATAATAAATTAATTATTTTTTCAGTTTATTTATAAGCCAAATTTTTATATTTACATATTAAACTTTATTATTTACAACTTGCCAACACTTATAAGTAATTAGTTTTTTTTTTATCTTGGACCTATATGTAATTCTCTTTTTATCTGTTATCTATAAAATTGGATACGTTTAACACCCAAATATACCATAGAAACTTAAATGGACGTCAAAGTTGCAGCTGGAGTTGTGGCATGAACAAAGGGTCAAACATTTGAGACAGACACAGGTCCCCGGAGGATATCAATGGGTGACACCAAATAATGGCGCCCTTACTCCACAGGCCACTGGTCCACTTTAAATGTTGTCATTTGACAGATTGCAGTTAAAAATATCATAAGATTTGACTACTTAATTTTATATATTTAGTATATTTTTATTTAATTAAATAAACACTTTAATTATATAAGATTAAATATATGATTTTTTTATTTAGTGATATTGTTATTAACCTTTTTGGGGCATACTAATTGCAATGAAGCTAATATCAATAGTCTTTAATTCACCTTTTCCTTGGGGTTTGAATAGTTTGAAGGGAAAAAAAAACTTATATGTTTAACTTTATATATTTAAAATATCTGTTTTCAACTAAATAAATAAATGTGTATCTTTTTTAGATCATTTAGTCTTTAACAGATTATTTTTATTAATATTACTAACATATTAAAATTCACATGTTTTGATTTAATTGTATGAAAATATATTAAGTATTAATGTTAGACAAATAATTATTGTTATTAACAAATTTAATTTGCATGTCATATGTAAATGAGAAGTTAAGTAATTTTTTTATAAAATTAAAGTTTAGGTGAATTTTAATTACTTAGATTCTATACATAATTTATAGTTATATATATGGGAGAAATTATTGTATAGACCTGATACACTGCACCATTCATTCTTTGTCCAATAAAAATATATCATGTTAGATCATTATAGATATAAATTAATTTTGCTATTGATGATGATAGGGAGAGAACAGATAATAAATTAAATAAGCATTATATTCAAAAAAAAAATTTATTAAAATTAATTAATTATAAGATTTTATTTGATTAAATTGGTATAATTTTATTGGACAAAGTATATGGTGTGATATATTTGGTCCATTCAAGAATTTCACACACGCACACACGCACGCACGGGATTTTTCAATTCAATGCAAAGATCAATTATGACGCACATAGATTAAAAAGACCATTGTCAAAAAGACATAAAAGGAAATGATTAATGTTTAAATATCAATTACTGGGAAAAATATGGAGAATTTTGGCTTTAAAATTTGGAAGTGTTAAAAGATCAAGATATGCTAGGCGACTTTGGAGACAAAGCAAGGAGATTGAAGATTGATTGACCACAAATTAAAAGGAAATAACAATCATGCAGCCCTTGCGAAAACTACTTCTAACTCGATAAACAAGTAATATTATTCATAAGCAACATAACTGACCTTTATTTGAACTGAACAAGGCAAGCAAAGCTTAAATACAATCAAAAGATATCAAGACCCAGGTGGTCTTGTCTCCTTGGCAAAATCACCCCCTAGTGCTACATGAGATATCTAAATGAAAAGTCCCATGAAATCATAAAGTTGTCTGAAATCTCATGTCATTTATTAAAGTTGTCAATTACTACTGAATCGTTATCAACTATTATTGCTTAGTTGTCAACTGAACAACTCCATGAATAACTATCTAGCATTGATTAACGAGTTCAATAAAGAATACAAGACTTGAGTGTAATTTTATGGAACTTTTTTGTATTTAAATTCCTTATGTGGGATGTAAAAGTGATTTTCCCAGTCTCCTTTCTTATGCAAGTTGAGCAGCACATTCATGAATAACAGACTCAAAACAAATACCCCCTCCGTTTCAAATTATAAAGCACTTTTGAATAAAATCTCACATACTAATGAACCTCATTAAATACACTTAACAAACTTATTTTTTCAAAACAAAAATATAAACTTTTAAAAATACCCATCATTTAATACATTAACAAGAGAAGGGATAAAAATTATTTATAGAGAGAAAAAGGTAAAATTGAAAATGATACATTTAATGAAATGTTAACTTATTCAAAATGTTTTATATTTTAAAATGAAAAAATTTTATTAAAAGTGTTTTATAATTTGGGGCGGAGAAAGTAATAAGAAAACATTTGTAAATAAGGAAATGATAAGATGCGAAGAGAGATTAAAGAAAAGGCAAGGGGTGGTGCATAATCCAGAGATGTTGGCTGAATTATGGGTGAGCCTCGCACTCAGTCTCATGTCCAAACCATCTCATACTGGCTGCTGCCTCTGCCGATAGAATCGCCCAGCCCACGAGGCCTCCCTCTTTATCATCTTCGTCCCCACATACAATGCTTCCTATGTATCACTCACCTCCAACATCTATTATTATTGTTGTCGTTCAATTCAAACTTAGATCATTATCATTGAACTATAAATTACCTCACCCTATATCTATTCCCTTTTCTTTGTTTTCCAAGCTCATGCTTGATGCTTCTTAACACCACCCTTGCGTACCTGGCAAAACCTCAATCCCCTTCACTTCATCATCACCAAAATTTCCGAAACTCATCATTTGCTTGAATTGAAATACCTTCTTTTATATAAAATAATAGTAGAGAGAATTTCAATATACGACCATTGTAATAATTTTATATAAAATCAGTTCCCAAAAATTTCTGAAATCACATTGTAGGACCAAAGGATTAAAATAAAATTATTTTTTGTGGGAAAAAGACTAAAATGCCTTTCAATTAATTTTTTTTAAAACCAAAATATTTATCCCCAGTCATTGGAACTCTAGCAGCCACACTACCGTTAGCAACCACCGGGGATAAATACCTAAAAGTAGTTAAGGGCAGATTTGAACCCAAAATCCCTTGATTAGTTAAACTTGATGTTTAAAAATTGCCAACACCACAGACAATGTCGGATGCATGGGAGCATGGGAAGATGTTTTGTTTGTACAAAAATTTTTCCATTTTTTTTTTACTTCTGAATAGTCCTATTTCTTTTAAAACAAATACAACACCATATCGAATTACCATGCATCCGTTGCATCTCCTCCTTAAATCCTGTGCTATTGCATTCCTCCCTTGGCCCATTTCTTCACTCGAGTTCATCCACAGCAAAGGCAGGGAATACGATATTGTTCCTTCTCAGTGAAATTTCCCATTCCTTTCTCCTGCTTAAATCAAGTAAAAACAGAAGGAAACAGGCGTCATGTATTGTACTCTTGTTACTATTGCTTCCAACTGACTATTACGTTGATATGATACTTCAACACATGTTCCACGATATTAGCCATGTGCTGCAAGAATTGAATCTATTACCCACCAGAAGGCCAGCAAAGAGGGGGCAAAAAGGGTATTATCTCAAATTTCTACTCATCTTTGGTCATTGCATGTTCCTCTTAAAACGGGCGAGACAATTACACTTGACTCATCAAGCGAAAGTTTGTCTATGATCCAAAACTACACTCTCAGACTCAGATAATGGCATTGGACCTCATTAATGCATTATCAACACAATTCTAAACGTGAAAAATATGTGAAGCAGAAACATTCCCCATGTGTATTTCATTTTCTACATGAAGCGACATGAATATGTCAGGTCCCAAGATCTCCAAGGAAATCAATTTTAGTCATAGGTTAGAACTATAAGATAAGCTCTACCAGATTAAATGACTATATTCCATTAATTCTTTGAATCTATATCGTGTTAGCCTCTTATGGCTAAATATCATCATAAACTTTGACACGACAAAAAAGCTTTAGGTAATATTTTACACATTAGCTAAGAGCAAAGCCTTTCAAGAGCCAAGTTTTCATCGCCACCAACAGCTTCCAAAGCACTCCTCGCCTGAGCTTCAGGGAATCCCATCTCTGCGAGCTTCTTTACCTGTACCAGTGAAAAATGGAAAATTCATTTATCTAAGCAACAAAAATGAACTTCGCTCACCCCAAAGAAAAAAGAAAACGATCTTCACAAGGGCAGAGTGAATCTCATGCATTGATGAGATCAATTGTTACAAGCTCAACAATGTACATCCACCCTCCAATGGCATGAGATCATATGCAAAAACTCAGTACCTTATCCTCAATCCCAAGAGATGATGCCTTGGCAAAAGCTTCAGTCCAGTACCGGGCGGTGCCAACAAATGTCTGGTACTCTTTCAGATACTGCATTGTCCATAGAAATAAATTGATTCAGAATGACATGTGAGCAGAAGAAAAAGAAGCAATCATAACAGAAGGAAATCTAGCCCTGAAAATTAAGTATGGAACGCTTAAGATGTTGAATTTAATAGTTCCAATCACAGACAGTACCATACAATAGATAAAAAGTAAAAGCCTTGTCATTAACAATACAGACACTGAGCCAAACCTGTTGTGCTACAACAGCATCTTGAGGATCATCAGGTTGAGGAGCAGAGAGAAGTGCTTGCACAGAAAGCAGTGCTGTTTTCAGTGTCAGTGCAGGGCTCCACTGGTCCTTCAAGATGTCCAGGCAAATAGCTCCACTCTGACTGCTGATGTTAGGATGCCTTCAACAGGTGACATAGCACAATATAGAATATAAGCATTATACGAATGACCATATGCTTTGCCAGTGGCAGGGCATTATCAGCCACTCTGTTTATAGATGCTATGAAATTGAAAAAATTTCTACAATAGATGGCCAGTCAATCATGAAAATAAGCCTCCCTCTTCAGAAACATCTAATGTACTATATGCCTAATTCTATGAGGCAAACACTAAAAGTTCTACGCCCAGTGCTAAAACTTTATTGCCATTCAAAACACACAGTATTTGATTTATCCGTTCTCAGTACAATCATTTCATCACAAAAGATTTATTTCAACCATACACTGTATCGTGAAAGTACCAAACTTGATGCGATGAACCATGCTAAATGACAGTGACCAGATTGGAATGAAGACCACGTAATATTGGAGAGGGGGGTGGGAGTGTGAGATTCACCAGTAACATTACTTAACTTTTCAAAAAGGTTCAGCATATGATTCTTCGCTGGCTGTTTTTGGTCAATTTTACAGTAAAATCAATAATCAATAACAGAAGAAGAGGGACGGATGGAATTCTAGCCTGACGCATGTTATTAAATAAGTTAACCACCACCAAATGACAAAACAATGGCCTCCGAAGATATCATAATTAGAAGGAAAAAAAAATCCATTTTATTTCACATATTTGCTTCCACAAGCCAAAATGAATGTGCGGTCAAAAATAGCATAACATTGGCACCTGAAGATATCATAATTGAATTTGAATCCAAACCTTCTTTCCTTTTTTCACATTCATTATCCAACATCAAAGCCAGGGTAAGTATCAATGTCCAAAACAACGATTTTACAGGACTCCATAAAACAACGCACACTTATTCCGCTACATATTTAGAAAGCCTAGCACACGTCTCAATAAATCGCACATCAAACTTTACCACTACGCATAACATGAATGAAACTCAAAAAAGACAGAGGCACATAAAAAAAATCCTACCAGACTTTCGTTGCAAACTGCATTTTAGGGGGCTCGAAGGGGTATCCATCTGCGATCAATGAATAGGGCAAGCAAGTTAACAAAATTTCCTTCACAGGTTACACAAAAGAGCGACAGACTAACCAATAAGGGGTAATCACGCCATGCACGATTGATAACCCTACCCTTTAATTACATATATAATTGGCAACATCGGGTCAAAATTCATAACATACCGGGTATGGTAATGTCAATCTGGAAAATGCCTCCCTCGTAAGGAGTTCCCAGAGGGCCAGGAATGGTTCCAATCAAGCAAGCAAGGTTGTCGGCTTTGACATTAACCCTGATGCCGGAACCTTCAACATCCTTGCCGCATTCCACGAGCTCCTTCTGAACGCGAGCAAAGTCGATCATCTTCAATCTGAGGGAGGAATCAGAAAAGAGAAACCCTAGAGAGTGAGACGAAGAAACAGGTTTGAGAGCGAGGATAGAAAAGAAGAGAACAATACACACACACACACACACACACACACACACACACCCCCGAACAAAACACACCACCGACTGGTTACTTCAATCGAGAGGAAGCAGAAAGAAAGAGGAATAAAGGTTGTTGCTTTTTCACTTTCCTTCGTCCTCTCTCACTCGCCCTCCGTCTGCAGTCACACCCCCACTAAGCAGTGGAAGCCAGTAAGGAGAGGAAAAAAAAAAAGAGAGAGAAAAATAATTTCTTTTCCTTTTTCTCGAGGTGTATCTTATGAATGAGGCGGACATTAAGTTTGGAATAATGATGGTTGACGCATCTTAATTATGAGACGTAGTCACATAGATTCATCAATTAAATTTTGAATAATGATACATCTTATGAGACCTAGATTCATGAATGAATTCGTCTATTAATATCTTGACATTTAAATCCTTCATTATTTATTTACTCGGAACATAATCTTTATTCTTTGAGTATAGATTTTTTTTAATAATTTAGATTTAGATAATCCTGAAACGGCAGGTTGGCAGCAATGGCAGCTTTTTGTCTTTTTCCCCTGCCAGAGAAAATGTGGCGGCTTATGATCGGCACCTTGTTATACGGCAGGTTTTGAAACGCTATTGTTATATTTTAAAAAATATCATTTTTTTTAAAAGGAAAATGTTTTTTTTGGACAAATTAAAACGAAAATGTTAAACCGATAAAAAAAAATGTTTTGATAAATGCACATTTATTTTTTAAAAATTAACTATGAAAATATTCACTATGAAGTTCATGAGTTAAAATGAGCTCATTAAAGTTTTGGTTAAAAAAGGGGGCTCTCATTAAAGCAGGGGCATGTGAACTTTCTGTATTTTATGACAATTAATTAAGTGCATGTTATATTCATTCAACTGGGGATAGATTATTTGTACTGGGATTAAAATTTTAATATATCAATTTAAAATGAATGTGCGGTCAAAAGTAGGGGTTAAAATGTATTGTATATGTATAGAGATAGAGATTCAGTCGACTTATATAGACAAAAATATGCTCCGTCGTCACATACAACTCATGTTTAATGTTCCTCACATGAACCAGTGAGACTCCAATGAGAATGATTAACAGGATGATAGTAAGAAAATACGGCCAATTATTTCATTCCTAATTAAAAAAAAACCGTATGCTTGAATTTCTTTCATGGTCATGAGGCGGAAAATAACAAAATTTGATGCACTGTACCCCTGTCCATCAGTTAATATACTTGTTTTAAAAAACTTGAAAAAATGATGAAAATAATTTCACCGTCGTCCCTTGTGCTAGCAGCACATTTCAAGTTTGAAAGTCTTATGGGTATGAAGCGCAAAACTGTTATGGCCCATAAAGCCCGTGACCCAAGGAAAAGGTATTATGATTCTGTTCCTTTATGGTAGACTGATAAAGATAGTGGGAGCTAGCGAGATGAAGAACACTGAACTGGTAGATTTGCCTTCAAAGATATTGCACACAGATGGGACATTAATATATATAAACGAAGAAAGGGAAGTGACTGGCACACTGATTTTCTCTTTAGAAACCTTTAAATCCACTTGTTTCTTCATGATCTGATACATAGTTTGAAGACAGCTCTGTACAGCCATTGGAGCTAGAACAAGACCGCGATGTTGAAGCATGAAGGTTCTGGTTTTGTAGCATCATGAAATCAAAGAATCTTGGTTGATCTGCCATGTCTTGTCTAGTATTACTATTATCCTGCACGTGACTCCTCGTCCTCCTTGTATCACCATTATTTGTTGTTTTCTTGAGGAAGATCCGACACAGAACCCAGTCTCCTACCTCCTCGGACTTGGAAGAAGAAGCAGTGACAAGACGGTATTCGTGCATGATCCAATCAGTTTTAGAGCCGCTTGGGGAATTGCCTTCGTAAAAAACTAGGGCTTTTCTGATCCCGACGATGTCGTTGTTTCTTGATGAAGACGTGATTTTCTTGTCGGATCCTGTTGCCTTCCAATATCCAGATATGGTTGTTCGGTTCATGCGATTCCCATTTCTATATTTGGCTCCCTTTGGGCTGAAAAAGTACCTCTCTTCTTCATCAGAGTTACCTAATCAAACCCACGTTTAATTGTACTCCATTAGCTTGCATTAATTACTTCCTCTTCTCAATTACTAGCAAATTAAAAGAATAATAATGCAACTTCAATGATAATGCTTATCAGCTGGAAATGACTATTATTTTAATGACGTCTCCACATATCAACTCAGTCACTTCGTTTATTTCATTTCTCATAAGCTAGTGGTGACTAAAACCTCCTAAACAGATGGGAAAATTTCAATGCGTTTCTCTTGATCCAACATAATTTTAGTAAACCTCCAAAACTCTAAAATTTCACTGCACATTTAAGATACTGAAATGAAATTAAAGATCTAGTTCAAATGACTTCATTGTTTTTGGTGAAGCTATACACATGAACTCATGCAAAGAAAATGAACAACTGTTATATGAAAAATAAAAAATTAGAGTAGGTAGAATTTGTAATCTTTATTAACAACATAACAATATTGTATGAATTTGCAACTTTCATTTCATCTATATTAATTTTTCATTTTCCGTACATCACGCATCTAGTTTTATCAAGGACAATAAAGTTATTTGAATTATTTCTTTAATTTTATTTTAATCCCCCAAATATGTAGTGAAATTTAAAAATTTTGAAAGGTTGTTTGAAATTATAAATGTTGGGTTAAGGGGGTGTTGACTGAAATTTTTCCTAAAAAGATTGACCTAGCAGGTTAGCTATATTTAATCATGCACATTCTCCTCTCAGTTCAGACACACATACACACACATCAGATTCACTAAACAAGAGATTGTATAAATGAGATGTTGATCGATTATCCTAAAAGCAAGAATGTAAAAAACTTCTTTTCATCCACCTCCACAGTTCCCACCCTTGAAATATAACTTAATTAACAATCTTGTCCATACTCATAATGATCAAAATATCAAGCAGTATTATAGCAACAACATTTTTCAGGTAAGGTATATATAGAATATTTATGGATCATAGCGGTAGAGAAGTCAGACAATAAGATAGCATTTATTGAGTATATATAGCATAGGGAGGGATTGAAGTGAAAGGAGTTCATTTGGTGAGAGGAAATGAAAGAAGTGGAGAAGAAATGAATAGAGACCTGGCAAATCCCAAGGATCGAAGTTGCAGAGATTGAGGTCAGGAATGATGGAAGCAGGCAAGGGAAGGGAAAAGATCTTGCATTTCAAGTACTGAAACACCAGCTCATGATCCGTAGGCTGGAAACGAAAACCAGGAGGCAATCTGCTCACTCCATTTCTAACAAAATTCATCTTTTCCATTATTATTTCTCGAAAAGAAGCAACAGTGATGGTCGCTTTAATCTGGACTCTCCACTACTCTTCACCACTATCTCACTACGCTGAGAAGATGTATTTATAGCCCATGCCCGAGAAAAAGATAGCTTTGCCCTTGAAGTAATGGTTAAAGGCTACTAAATTTTAATGTTGGCCAATTCAGTATACCCAACTGATGATCTTTCATTTGCTTCGCCTTTCTTATGCCTTCACTTTTTTATGTTGTATATATATGTGTATGTATGTATATGTATATATATAATCAATTCACAGTCAGAACTTATGTCTAGCTACATATTTATAGTTTTCTTTTTCTATTTTAATTAATTGTGTATTCATAATAATCTCATACTACCTCCGTTAAAAACTGTAAGGCATTTTTAATCGAATCTCACTCTCTAATAAAGTAATTACCTACTTTCAAACTAGCTCTATCTTTCTATATTTACCCCTATTAAATACCCTATAATAAATATAAAATTATTTATCAATAAGGACACTTTAAAAAAAAAAGTAATGATTACACCTCGAAAGAATAAAAATATTTTATATTTTTAAATATCTAATTCTTCAAAAAATACTTTATATTTTTAAACGGAGGAGTATATCATTTGCATTTTGTAGTATATCATCCAAGATCCTATTGGCCCACTGTCATTGATATGTACTCCCTTCGGCCTTATTTATAAGTTATTTCTATCAACATCATCAATACTAATATAATAAAAGTATAAATAATAAAATTTTATAAAATTACAAACTTAACCCTCAAAAAGTAAATAAATTATATAATATTATTTTTTTATTTTTCTCTCTCTTACTTTTTAAGGATAATTTAGATATTTCATTTGAAAGAAAACATTACTATCAATTCAATGACTTATAAAGTAAACCACTTCACTTTTTTTAGAAGGTAACCTCTAAAGTAGACCGGAGAGAGTATTCTATAAACCCTATTGGCTGCGTGCGCTAACTTACGGCATTCCGTGACAATATAAAGTATTGGTTATTAATTAATGATTCTAAAAGTTTGGTTGAAACTTAAATTTTTTTTTAAAAAATTATATCTTTTTAATTATATTTTTATTAAATATTCTATATACTCACCCGTCCATATATATAAAGTATTTTTAATTAAATTATACATATTAATAAAAGTTTGTTATTTTAGCTGAAACCCATTAAATCACAATAATTTTTTAATTTTTCCTTGATAATGTCAATTAATATCATGATGATGATGGGTAAAATATGTAATTAATACCTCTTCTCTTTTTTTTAAATATAAGGAAAAAATTGCTTAATTATTTAAAAATATTATGACACCTATTATATTTAAAAATAAAATAAATTTTTAAAAATATTTCACATATACGACGGAGAGAGTAAGTTCATTAATAACTACAATTAAAATTTCAACACGTTATTTTTTCAAAAAAAAATGATAAATGAAGTAACAGTATAATTAGAAAATTAATTATAAAAGTTATTCAATATTTTATATTTTAAATCAAGTAAAATTTTTAAAAAATATTTTATATTATGATTCAGAGGAAGTACTTATATGTCCCACAATATATCACCGTTATTCACGCATGGTAATTAACAAAAATTAAGAAAAGCATTCAAAGGTTTCTCGAACGTTGAATCGAAATTATAGTTTAAAAATATATGCCCATAGCCAGGTTTAGGAGCTTCCGACATTCTTTTCGACTTTGTTCAGTGTTCTGATTTCATATGGGATTCTAGTTTCCGACAAACCATTGTTTCATTAGCAGATGTCTACTCTCTACATTAGAAGGTTCACATTTAAATCTTCATGTCATTGTTTTACGAAAAGAAAGTAAGAAACATAGATTTTTTTTTTTTAAAACGAGGTTATTATATTGTAGTCTCTCGAAGCTTAATCAAGAGGGAAATATGACCAAGCATAAGATTATTAATTAAATCTTGCTTTTCTTTTCTTTACTTTCCCCCTTTTTTTTGGAGCATATATATAGGTTTTCAAGGGAAACAATTAATTCAAAGTAAGTCTAAAAATACTAAATTTCAAAAATTTATAAGTTTGATTCTCAATTTTACAATATCGTTGTGATATATATATATATAACTTACTTCCTCTATTTAAAAATATAAAGTATTTTTTGAGAAATTGAATGTTAAAAAATGTAAGACATTTTTAGCTTTTTGAAGTGTTATATTATTTTTTTTCAAAAGTGCCCCTATTGATATTGATTTTATATTTATTATAGGGTGTTTAATAGAAATAAATATGAAAATATAGGGTTAATTTAAAAGTTTTTATTGGAGATGAGATTTAATTAAAAATACCTTATATTTTTGAACGGACGGAGTATATTCTAAATTTTAATAGGAAAAATAAGTTTCTTTATTTTTCAATCATATTAAAATTTAAAAAATAAATTATAAATTTATCACAATGAAATTATAAAATTAAGAGCGAAATTTATAAATTCATAGAGTTTGGCACTTTGTGACTTAATTTAAATTAATTAATCCTTTGAGACCTATATGTCATTTTTCTTTTTGTTTTTTTTAAATTTCTGCCTAGCTAGTTGGTTGATGCAAATCTATATGAAATCATTTTTGAAAGTGTGCTTGAAACTTATTTTTGCAAAACAAATAAATTTATTGGTCCTAGTTAAGAAAGAGATATAATAAGTTTAACCTTGATTTTCCCCCAAAAAAAAACTTTATATAAATAACTTCCGATCCAGATAAAGTTACACACTATCACATGATAGGAAACTTTTTCTTAGATTGCCTAAAAAGGAATAAAAAAAAAACTTTTTCTCATCCTATATATGAAACGAAATAGTGTGTGCGTATTACTTGGTTGATTCTGATTAATTTCAATGCCAAAATATAATCATCAACTTTCTCGTTATTTTTTTGAGCTCTAAAATATGCATTCATACCTTAGTACCTTACACACAAATTCGTTGTATCATTCAATATTCACCCAACTGGTTGTGGAATCGAATCATCTATTTGTGCAATGTAGAAAACAATACATTGACATCATTCATAGTGCAAATAAGAGAAAGAGTTAACATTTCATATGGAATTCAAACTAATAAGTGATGTACGAATATTGTTGTTACTCAAACCACTTCAGACCGACCGCGATGTTTATCAAAAAAGAATTTCTTCGACAAAGAGGCACCTGTAATTAATGACAATTAATGAGAGAACCAATATACTCCTTCCGTCCAAATTATAAGATATTTTTAAACAAAATCTTGCATACTAATAAATCTCATTAAATATACTTAACAACTTTTTTTTTTCAAAACAAAAATATAAATTTTTAAAAATATCAATCATTTAATATATTGAAAAGAGAAGGAATGAAAATTAATTATAGAGAGAGAAAGGGTAATATTAAAATTGATACATTCAATAAAATTTTAATCTATTTAAAATATTTTATATCTTTGGATAGAGAAACTTTTTAAAAAGTACTATATAATTTGAGATGAAAGTAGTATATATATTATGTTTAATAATTTTTTTTTCTATAGGAGAAGAAGAGATTCCCTTGAGATAGAGTTAATTACGCTTAATTACGAAAATATTGCATGCAAAAGCTATGCAATACATTGTGACGTCCAGATGCATGAGAGATGAGTCAGCCTTTAGTATTTTCATGTGGGTTCACTAAAGTTTCCATCGGTACGTATAACTAACCCATTAGTCATGTCCTTTCATTTTCCTTTTGTAGTCTTATTCTAGATTTGCCGTTTTTAAAAGCTTCGATCTCAGTGGATTACCATTTTGATATGACTATATTGTAATCTCAAACTTTTTTCCTTTTTTTTTTTTTTTTTGCAAATCAGTTTCTTGAACTTATTAGTGGGTAGATGACTCATACGGCCGCAACTTTAGGTCTGTACATGTGTCTTTAAAGATACTAATGCTTTTTGTTATTAGTTTTCTTAATTAACCGTAGTTTGATGCGGGTTCATGGGCTAAGTTTTTTCTTTTATATCTGTCTTTAAAGCTTGGGATGAATTGAAGTGTATCGGGAAAAAAAAAAAATTTAAAGTCAAAGTGCTTCAGCTTTATTGGTCAATTGTAATATTAAAGATGAGTACAGAGAGCACTCAACTACATGATAGATATTTTCTTGAAAAATAATTCCTCTTAAACTTTAAAAATTCACTTTAAATCAAGAATACTGAAGTAAAATTAAAATAGAGAGTAAAATTATCTCATTATCCCTTATCTATTACTTTTATTCTCAGACCTCACTCCTTGCCACATTGCACTCTGAAGACGACACTCCAACTCTCACTAAAAAAAATTGACTTTCGGCGGTGACTCAAAAATCCAAAAGTCGCCGCTAAAAACTTTTAGCGATGACTTTCCGCCGTTAAAAGTTTTTAGCGGCAATAAATGTCACCGCCAAAACTTTTTTTTAAGAAATAATAATTTATTTTATGTCACATCACTCTGCCACGTATGCATTAAGTAATACCACGTCACCTACCATATGTGCAATAGATTATGCCACGTCACTTGCCATCTTGTGCCACGTTACATTCCATGTATTCAACAGATAATGCCATATCACCTAGCCATCTCATGCCACATGACACGTGCACTTCCTCAAGCCATCTCATGTGCCACATCACCATCTTGCGCCACATCACCTACCACGTGTATGCCCCATCAAGCTATCTCATGTGCCACGCCACCAGCTCATGCCACATCATCTGTCACGCGTGTGCCTTTTCAAACAACCTCACGTGCCACATCACCACCATGTGTCACATCACATATTTATTGTGAAATATAACAAAGCAAAGATTTGAACCCTTGACCTCTCCCTCCTCCAAGCCTTAAGTCTCTCTTCTTTGCCAGTTGAACTAAAATGTACCTACAGTTATTATATGCAAAATTAAATATATATTATGTAACTGCATACACATATATCAAATAATATATGATTAAAAAGATATCCATATATTATATTTTATTTTCAATTATTAATATGAAAAAATGATTTATATGAATATTTAAATTATAATTTT